CGATTCCGGTGTACACAGTTCCCTTAATGGAAAGAAAAAAGGATGACTCCAAAACATTCCGGCATGCAGTTGTCAAAGCCCCTATAATATGCAGGATGATAGGGCAGTTAAAAACAGCCGTGTTTGAAGACCCATGGGCCCTCATCAAAGCTGAAATAGCGGTCGGCAAAAGTTGAAGGAAATTTGTTTTTTAAACATTTTTTTTCTGCTTAGTGCTGCGGACCTCACCTTCTTGCAATTAAGTTTAGTCTTTAAATTAAGAAAGCCGTTTTAAAGCTAGCATAGACGTTGCTTTCGAAGAGGGAAGGAAGGAAGCAATAATCTGACGTTCTATTCAAAGAATCCGAGAAGCAAGTGTAGAGAAAGGAAGACAGACCTCCAAAGAACAACGCGAACTGAGGTAGAAGGAAAGCTAGAGTATTCTCAGTGATCTATATTAACTTAGGACTTGCCCAAATACTTACACATATATGCAGAAGGACATTACCGACAAAGACATGCGACACTGGGAAGGCCTTTTCTGGCTTACTTGCCGTCGTCAGCTAGTGATACCCAACTCCAGTTTTGCCGCTGAAATTGTTGCCACACTCGAGATTTGAACTCGCGATGTCTCCGGTCAGGGCGAACGTCCTAACCATTAAGCTACGAGCTCACGGTCTTACCGGCATTATATATACATGCTATGATAGTGTCTATGAGAGTTCTAAGTGGTGTCCAAAGGTGCCATGGGACGAGCGTGCTCCGTAAACCGGTTGAAGAATGTCGGTGTTGGAGTTAGTGTACAGAAATCTCAAGGAGAAATGAAAGAAACGCGAACTAGGTGGCTCGCCACATACGACGGCGTAAATGCTATGTCAGTATGGATTTAATTTTTAGTTTAATTAATATGCTTTCTTTTTTGTCCCATTTGCTATCCATCTGCCTCCGACAACGATCTGAGGAACCGGTGTCGAATGTATTTGGCTTCAACTTTATTTGTTGAGAGGCCTATTTTCCAATACTTAAATATGCATATATGCATGCATATCAGAAACACTATCAGAAAGATCTTAGAGAAATTATTCTTGCACTAGGAAAACGCGAAAGAAAACGGTTCCAGTCAAATGGAGATGTCATCCCACTTCAACCCCATTCCCGAGTTCGAGTCCTCTGGCAGTAGTGAACAACGGTACAAGGGAGAATTGAGTCCCACCATGCCCATAGTCACAAAAACTACCGGTAACAGCAGCCCCCTTTTGAAAACTGGAGAAAAATTCGGTCAACTAAACAGTTCTGACCACCTAGCACAGCTCTTCTCAGCAATTCAGTCACATCAACAGGCCCTTCGTGCCACGCCACTGGGACCCTCTCCGACTGAATCCCCCG